CTTAAAAAAATTCTAACTAAAAAAATAATTTTTTTCGGTCAAATCCTGATACACGTGTTTACTTATTTTCCGAATAGTACGTGTAAAAAAAGTTTCAGGCAAATCAAAAATGTGAGCCAATAAAAGGTGTTCGGTTTGTAAAAGAACCGCCCATATAGAAGCTTGGTTGTATAAGGGTCGTCAAACTCCTTAGACCAGCGCTTTATAAAGGATAAAAGGCTCCTAGCTTTATTACAAATTCGTGATATGTGATCATGAAAACATAGTTTATGCTCAAATAAAACTCCCAGGTCTTGTACAGTAAAAAATATGTTGAAGCACATTGTTGTCAATAGAGTATAAATACATAGACGGATTACGACGATAAAATGTCATAAAACTACATTTAGAATAGTTAAGAAATAAATTATTAAGTTTGCACCAAGTCTGTAAATAGTCAAGATCTAATTGAAGACGAGAACAAGAATCAGGTAATGACATGGACAAACACAGTTTAACATCGTCAGCAAGCATTAAAACAATTGCGGATTTAATAGCTTGAGGCAGGTCGTTAATCAACAGGCCAAATAATAAGGGTCCAAATGACTTCCTTGAGGTACACCAGAGGTAACATTTATAGTTTTGGAAGTTATATCATTATATTTCATCCTCTGAGAGCGGTCAGTGAGATATGAATGTAGCCACTTTAACAACTTTGGAGGGAATCCCATAAGGGTAAGTTTATGAATAAGTAGGCCATGGCTGGAAATATTCCATCTAGTCCTGGTGACTTGTAGATCGTTTGGGGGGCGTTCTTCGCCAGTTGCTATGTCTTGGTGCGTGCTGGCGTCTAAGACATCCGTGCATCCTGGGAAGTGCGATTGCATAAGTGCTGTTAGGGCCTCTTCACTGCCCTCAGTCCACTGTCCGTCGTCGCGTTTTAGCTGACTCTGTATGGTAGGTTGCTTTGAAAGCAGCTTCCGGAGTCTAGCTGTTTCCGGGACAATCTCGATGCTGGAGCAGAAGTTTCTCCACGAGCTTCTCTGCGCCCTGCGTGTTTCCTTCTTGTAATCCCTCAGTAGGATTTTGTATTTCTCGTTAATGATCTCATCGTCTGCCTTTTTGGCGATTTTGAAGAATTCTCGGAGGTTATGTCTTTGGAGTGTAAGTTCCCGATTCCACCATGGTGGCCTGGTCTTCTTCCTTGTTCTTGAAGTCGGGCATGATGCGTGATACGCATCCAGTAATTCCTTGGACAAGGTCTCTAGGGACCTTTCTATGTCTCTCTCGGATTTTACTATGCCTGGGCTAGTCGCGAGTTTCGGGGTCACTGTCCTTGTAAACTTTTCCCAGTTCGTGTTCCGGGGGTTTCTATAGACAGCTACCTTTGGAATGCTTTTAAAATCATATCTGAACTGAATATACCTATGGTCCGAGAAAGATAGTGTTTTTAGGACCCCCCATTCGGAGACCAAAGAACTCCGTCCCTTTACAAGTGTTATATCTAGCACGTTTGACGAGGTGGGACCTACGAAGGTGTGCTCCTCCCCCATGTTTGCTATATATAGATTAGTAGATAGAATAAAGTCTAAGAGTGACTCACCTCTGTCGTTGATGTCTGAGCTTCCCCACACGCTGTGGTGTGCATTGGCATCTGCACCAATGAGGAGTTGGTCATCCTTCGAGCCTAGCTCCACCAAGCTGCTCAGCTTGTCTGGTGGTGCCGATCTGTCGTGTGCCATGTAGCAGGAGGCTACTAAGAGGCGCTGCTCCTCGCTTTCTGGCATCACCGCAGTCAAGTCGTCAGAGCTGTAATGAGGCATAAGGTTAGCATAAATACCCTTCCGCACAAGTTCGGCGCTTCTGTTCCTGCTCACCGTTGGTGAGTAGAATGTATTGTGATTTGAGGACCTTAGTCCGGCCACGATATTGCCCGAGGCAAACCATGGCTCTTGAACCAAGGCTATGTCGACGGGCCCTTGCTCTAGGGCGATCAGGAGCTCCGCCGATGCGAGTCTGCTCTTATGAAGATTGAGCTGCAGCACCCTCAACGTCATGGGTTACTGGCTCATCTCCGCTCGATGGGTTGGCTATCACAGTCAGGTCACCGTCCTCTTCATCTTCCGAGTCGTCCAGAGCAAGTTCCTGGGCGGCATCCACGATGGCTTCCAGACCTAGGTCCCTCTCCACCTCGCCTGCCTGCAGGATGTGTGCGCCGTTGTCGTCAGGGTGTCGCTCCTTGAGGCGCAGGTAGATGCTACCCATGCCCCACGCCATCTTCCCGAATCTTGGGTACAGCAGATCCTCCGCCTCCTTGTTGATTTAGAGAACCACACTTTGGCCCCCTCGTTGGGTAGAGGGATGGCCATGTGCAGAATCTTCCAATTCGCCGTTGGGACGTCTGGGTTCTGCCGTTGAAGCAGCTTCAGGGCCCGATCCCCTTGAATTGCGACGGGGAAGAGCACTTTCCACAACCTCCAGCTTGGCACCCTCCCACAGCGCCTCCAGTTGGCAGACCGTTTGCGTCAGCCACTTCCTGGTCGGATCGTCGTTGCACTTCAGGATTTTCACGCCGTTCAACCACCCTGCACCATTGAATGTGGGCATGGGGGCTTGTGGGTGATTCATCCATCCGTGCAAAGAGAGACTCGATCAGTCGCGCATGGACGATCTTCCAGCGCGCCTCCGTCATCTTACCATTTTCGTCGTTCCTGTCAATGAGTGCCCCGATCAGGCGTCGGTTGACAACATCACTGATTTTAGCCCTCTTGTTGGGCTTCTGTGCTGCTTTGGGTGGCAGAGGGCCTGTCTCCTTGGGCCCTCCTTGCTTACCGGAATGTCCTCGACGGCACTCTCGTGTGAGCGTTGCCTTTTGTTGGCAAGCATCTCCTCCACCTTGTTGGCAAATCCGCCTGTCGACGCCATCGCGGGTTTGCTTGCGAAGTGCAGTCTTCCTTCCTCAATCCTTTGCTCTGCCCAGGCTAGCTCTTCCTTTTCCTCCTGGGAAAGGTCCGCTTTGTCCTGGAGCCGGCTCTTGATCTTGAGGGCTGCCTTGTACTGCGCCTTGGCCTTCATCCCCTTGCTTGTACGCTTCGGCCCTTCCCTACGCGGAGAGTTGGAACCTGGTACCGGCAAGCGGGTATCTTGTTTTGGCTTCGTGTAGCACGGTACCCGTGCGGCTTAACTTTGCCTGAGATGTTATGGCAGTAACATTGCCGCTGGAATGACCTGCTCCCGTCCTCCCAGGGGTTCGACCGCTGGCGACACACAGAGGGATTGCTCCTCCCCGTGCCCGCCGATGCTAGCAGTCGTACTTCCCACCGACGTTTTGGCTGAAATCCCAGCCCTGATTTGCTCCATATCTCCGTCCATACTGGTTTGTTTTTCCGGGGAACCTCCCACTTGCGTTTTATGCCTACCGCCAGGCACCATTCAAGGGGATTGAACCAGTTGCCTTAGCAATTGCAGAGCAATGTTTTGCTCTATGTATTTGACTAATTTAAAAAAAAGGAATTGATTTTCTTCAATTCGATATTACTGCACTTTACCATTGATATTTTGTTTACCAGAATTTTTGTTTCCATTAATTTTTCACCTTGATTATAATTATATTAATAATAGAAGATAAGGAAGGCAGGTGGAAGGGGATGCCGTTAATCAAATTGTTTAACATTTCCATTTATTTAAACAGTATGAGGCAGGTGTATGAAAGGGTAAGAGAATCAATTGATTTGAATATTTCGTTATTTTTTAATAATTTCAATGCTTTTTCCATTTCAAAACACAATCTATAAGAAAATGTTTTCGATCTGTTTTAAAAATGCAAGTGCAATTTTTTCTATGCAAAAGGATATCAGTATTATCAATAATTTGAATTTAAGCGAATTTAACTTCCTAAGTCAGATGCAATGCCCACACACGCACATATCTAGGGATTGTGTTTATAAAAAACTCATTTTGTAGCTTTTATATATTTCGTCCATGTGTGTGTTAATATCTCAACGTTTGAAAACTAATAAATAGTTTGCTGATCAGTTTTTTGCATTTTAAAAATAAAAGCAATTATAAGGAAAATTTCGACTGTAAATTCAGCCTAATGGGATTTCTGTAAGCTTAAACGATATTTTAAAATTTAACATTTACTTGAGAAAAATGCGCAAAAGAAGAGATTTTCGATATAATCGATTTTTTAACCGCGCATTTTAAACGTGACTGTGATGACTGTGGTATTTTCAATGTGTTGACTGTGGTATTTTCATTTCCCCCTTGCGCGGTCACACTTAAAGTGCGACAGCATGACATACATACATACATACATGCGAAAGCAGAACATAAATACAAACATATGGGGAGGCCGTGACGTCACATCAGGTTAGCCCAATTTGAAAATATTGGGGACTTGGTTAAGGATGCTGAATCTCCAAAAAATTTAAATGCAGGGCTTGCGGATATACCATAAGATCACATTTTTAAACATTCATAGCAGAAAAATATCAAAAGATAGAAAAAAAAACAAATCGAATTTTGGGGCACTTTGGGGTCGTTTTTTGTTTTACAAAGTACCCCTAATTGTTTTAGTAATTACTGTGGTTTTTTTTAGATTTTTATGTTAGTCCGTTCTGGGTGTAATTTGCTACTGACCGTTTTTTAGGGGTAGACTTATATAATAATTTAGATAATTTTGATGAATAGTGTGTACAAAGAATAGATGTTTGGAAAGCGATTGAGGTAGGATTCATGTGGGAAAAAAGGGATGCGTGTGAGCAATTTATCTGAGGCTGCAGCACAAGCGCCACAACAGTAGTAGTAGGGAAACCATGGTTTTCGCGGCACGCAACCTGCGACCCGTTGGGCGCCCTCCTAGCCATCCCAATAGCTTTTTGATCGAAACACCTGATAGTCACGTTCAACGAATCGTATTGCTGTCGTACATACAAATCTAACAACAAGGCTATATACACTTTGGATTGCCGATGCTAACTTCTTTTTTCGTTGAAACTGATATTTTAATACATTTTCAGAATACTAACAGCAATGCACGAGACATAGGTGTGAGCGAGGACTCGGATCTAAGAAATGTTTACATTGATGGCACTGAAACTCGAGTTGTTTTAAATTTTTGTGAAAAATTTAACTGTACGATCGAAATTGATACGTGTAAGTATGGAATATATTTGGCTATATAGTATTTGTGAAAATTTAGTTGCACTTTGTCGATTACACTAGCTTACAAAATAATATTATTGATGCGCTTCCCAGCAATTGATTGACAATTCTATTCCACTATCGTTAAAACACACAACAAAACAAGAGAGAACGCTATAGTCGGGTTGTTGTCCCGACTATCTAATACCCGTCACTCAGCTAAAGGGAGTGCGAACGCTGTGTCGGGTTGGTGTCCCGACTAATAATCGTAACTCAGCTAAAGGGAGTGCGAGGGAGATAGATATATAATTTTTGATTGCGTATAACTTTTTAATGAATGGTCCGATTTGAAAAATGTCTTCTACATTTCGATAGGTATAAATATACACAACAAAATTGCATTTATACTTCTCGGAAATCTTTAAAGATGTGGGCGCAGGACCCATTTTAAAATCGTTAGTGGGCGATTGTGGGCGTTAGAGGGGGCGTGGCGCTCGGCTAAAATAAACTTGCGCTGCGTAGGAAGCCAAAGAATATGTGTGGGAAATCTCAACCTTCTAGCTTTTGTAGTTTCTGAGATCTCAGCGTTCATACAGACAGACAGACGGACAGACAGACGGACAGACGGACAGACGGACAGACGGACAGACGGACATGGCTAGATCGACTCGGCTAGTGACCCTGATCAAGAATATATATACTTTATGGGGTCGGAAACGCTTCCTTCTAGCTGTTACATACTTTTGCACGAATCTAGTATACCCTTTTACTCTACGAGTAACGGGTATAAAAAAAACTTCGTTCCCAAATACAATCACTTATTGTATATATATGGGCACTTCCAAAATGTCGCTCGGGACATTTTCACACCTTTAAAGTTGAAAAAAAATTGTAAAACAATGGATTTTAATTTTAATTATGGGCTTTTCTTTTCACTCTTCCCAAGCTCTATTTTTGGTAAAAATCTTGATTTTGTACCACTTTTAGTTTTTAAGATATCGGTAAAAAACTGCCGTATTCGCTCGGGACAAAAATAGAAGTGGATTTCGGGGAAGTTTATACAACACCAGAAATAAGCGAATTCTGATGGAATATTTTAATGCGATTTTTTTAGAATGTTGTTCAAACATGTCGCTGTGAAATGCTTTTGGTTTTACTCAAAAATTCTTTTCCGTTTTTTTTTTATGCAGTTTCAACCACATTCGCTCGGGACATGTCGCTCGGGACATTTTTTCCGACTGTTTTGTAAAGCGGATTTCTTTACCTCTATCTCTCAATTGCTGGATGTTTTGCTTTTAACTTAATAGTTTAGCATGTGAATGAAGCATTCAGTACAGAAAAATGACACATATTAGCATTCCTATAGGATAAATTAACAACAGAAGACAAGTCCAAAAAATAACAAAAAAATAGCCAAAAACTGATTTTTGCGTATATTGGTCGGGTTTGTCATAAAAATAATCAAACTATACTCCAAATTTGTAGTTAAGCTCAGTATCCAACTAATTAGAAACTAATATCGGGGCAAAATCATGTGGAAATATGTTTTATTCAAGTTTCAAGGTTTTTGGCTTGGTGGACTTTTTTTTGGAAGTGCCCATATATATAAATATATATATATATAGCAGGGACCGAAAATAACTGTTATTGTAAATTTTTCTTACAAAAAAAATTACGCACTTAGAAGGGTCATACAATTTTTTTTAAATACACAACTACATACTTTACAAATCCGTAATGATTTTTATTTTTTGATTTTTATAATAAAACTTAAAAAATAACTATTATTTGTTGATTTTTATGAATGTTTGGGCGTTTGCTGTAGTTGAGAGAGCTTTCTGCAATTGCAACTCTTAAATTTTTCATAAACCCACCACTCTGTTATAACTGCCCGAATTTTATGTAAAGGGAGGCACAAGAGAGAACGATCGACAATTTTTGATGGGCATCGAGCAGAAGCAATTATCACAGCCGCTGGTCGCGTTTAATAATTTAACTTAAAATTTATACCATTGTCCGCATTGAATATTGTGAAGTGAAAAACTGAATTAGAATTAATTGTATATAATAATAAACCATCCATGAAATGCACCTTTTATAGTTATCATTTTCAAATTGGTGGAAAAAACCCCAGAGCATCTTTGCTCATCTTTGACAAGATAAATTGTCACAACATTTTTTGGTGGCCCATGAGGGGAACCATACAATCACGCCTTCTGGAATAATTATCTACTAATCTATTTTCTAATAAAAATCAGTTTTGATCTTAACTTTGTGATATCCGGCACATGGATCTAAATTTTCCATTCGCAAATACATAAAACCAGCAAACGGAAGCACATGTATAATTGCTGTTGCACCATCACCCCATACGCTTTACCCTTCGACTTGTGACGCCTCATTTTGGAGTTGTAGGCGCACAATTATTGTTATACCTAAATTAAGCTAGATGTAAGTCCACTGAAGGATAAATAAGTTAAGTTCAAAACCCACCACTCTGTCTTATTTATTAAGCGAAATGGCGATAGTGAGCTAGGGTCACACTAGCACAAGGTCATCAATTACCAATCGAATAGTCGTGAGCACTGTTAACTAACATTGGAACTGTGTTCACACACCCCCGCCGCAAATCGAATGGAATAATCGCCGATCGAATAGACCAATCGGCTTCGATAGGAGTTAGGGACCACGCGGATCGAGAGAAAAAGACTCTCTTGTGTTTCCGATCGTGCCAGCGAACAGACGTGTGCTCCGGGTAAGACTCTCGTCACGGTTAAGTATTCTCAACTGCAGAACGGGCAGTATTAGGGACACAGAACACCGGCGATATATAACCAAAGCTTAATAAATTAACCAAGTGTACTAATTCTAAAGGGAAATTCTCCCGTGTTTGTATTCATTGCCCCGATCCCGCAGTTAGCGCCAGTGGAATTTCCTGGCATCAACCTAATAAATAACTAACTGTAGTTTGCATTACCAGTGGTTATTCCCTGGTAAATAGTAGACCGTATTTTGCCTTATCAGTGGCCATTCCCTGGTAAACTAACCGTAGTTCTGCACTGACAGTGGTTATTCCCTGGCAAGTTACTAACTTTAGCGAGTACTGCCGGCGGCCTTTCCCGGTAAGTCCGCTAACCCCAGAGTGCGCCACCAGTGGCCCCCATCCCCCTTGGTAGATAACCGAGTAGCTTGCACGGACAGTTGTTATTCCCTGGCCAGTAGCGTCCCAGTAACCTAGGAATTAAATAACCGTAGTCTGCCTAGCCGGTGGTCATTCCCCGGCAACCGACTAACTATAGTGTGCACGGTAAGTGGAATTCCCTGGCCGGTCACCGACTATTACAGGCACTGCCGGTGGAAATCCCTGGTTAGTGCCCGTTCAGTCTACGCTACCGGCGGACCTTCCCCGGTAGACGGTAATCCCAGGTTTTCCGCAGACCCAAATTTCAAGAGTCATTTCCTTCCGCTATTATCCAGCCACAGGTTCCCCCTACCTTTTCTTACAAATTTCTTGTAAGGTTCTCTGGCCCCGGCTGAATGCAACCCTGGCCTAAGAACTTAGTTACAAGTGGCGCCCGAGCAGGGACCTGTAGGGAAATTCTTGAAAAAAAAACTAACATCTTGTGGAGCACGGAAAACTCAAAAAAAACCCTTCAAGTTCGTGTCTTAAGTCACCGCGAGTAAATCATCCGAGTTCGTGTCCTAAGTCGTCGCGTCATTCTCAGTCCGTCACGTAATCGGAAGCCCACGTGCTTGCGCCGCGAAACGAAACTGCCCACGAACCTGCCCCGGTCTGGGAAAGGCTAGCCGCTCTGGAATCGCGGTACGCCTCCCGTGCCCCCAGTCCTACGGGGGAAAAACAGGAGGCTCCTGATAACAAATCACAAGTCTGCCAGGCAAGGATAATGCCCTGCCTGCCTGGGTTACTTCACCCTAACGTCGTTGTGCATCCACCCACGCCGGACGTATCTCACGAGACGCGAACCCAGCGCGAACACCCCTGTATTCCAGAGAGGATTCGCAAGTGGGGGTTACAATTCTATGGGATCTCTGACCCTTTGACTTTCATCGAACAGGTGGAGAGTCGTGCCATGTCCTACGGTATCGAACTGCACCTCATTCCCCGTGCTATGGCGGAACTCTTAGTAGGTAGGGCCGACAAATGGTTCCAGACTAGTCGGAGCCGATTGGGCCCAGTTTCGGAAAGAATTTCTGGAATTTTTCCTACCGCCCCGGTATATGCAACGCCTAGATGACCGGATCCGAGGTCGAGAGCAATTGGAGGGGGAGAGGTTTAAGGATTTCATGTTAGACCTACGAGTACTCATGCGACATGCCGGGTACACGGAACAGCAAGAGCTGCACCGACTCTACGAAAACTCCGCCCCGGACCTACAGATGTACATTCGTCGCCACGAATTTAAGACCATTGGGGACCTGACCCAATTGGCTAGGGAATTGGAAGCTGTGAAGCAACGCAGTTTGAGCCGAACGAACCAACGGAAAACCGCACCAAGAATTCTCAATCTCGCTCAACGGACCGTGGAGCCGAGGCGGCCGACACAGGTCGGAAACCAAGGCGGCCGTAACGACCCGAGGGCAGCAATGCAGGATGGCCTCGACCGGAGCATCGGGCCCGGACCGATCATGGACACGCGGAACGCCTGCCGCAATTGCGGTGAGTCGGGACATTTCAGTCGGGAGTGCCGGAATAACCGACAATACTTTTGTGGGGACTGTGGACGGCGCGGAACACGCACGGTTGAGTGCTGTCGACGGCCTCAGTCGGAAAACGGGTCGAGTCCCGCGACACGCGGCAGCCGGTGGGGACGAGCACCACCAACAACCCACAGTAACCGCACCTCTCAGAGTATTGGAGGGCCGGATAGTGGCCGAAGTGGAGATCTTTGGACAAAGGAGGCTAGCAACCGTCGACACAGGGGCGTCCCGCAGCTTTATTAGTAGAGAATGCGCTATGGCTGTGGGTAAACCTAACCAATTCAGGGAAGTTC